AAGCTTTTTTTCCCCACTGCCACCAGGTTTGCATGTTTTACTTGTGTTGAACAGCAGGGGGCGCCAAAGTTAACGCCCTATGACAAATGCACTGCAAGCAAGGAAGTCGTCACCCTCCCACCCCCGCAATCGTATCAAAATGATGGAAAATCTTTAATTTGAACGTTAAGATCAGGTTTTGGCATTGAAATAAACAAAGGCAGTCAAACTGATCCACTTTTCATTACTTATTTCTGCCAATCTCATGTTCAAACGATCGTGTCCACATGGTGGCGGTAACTGTTGCTAACTGAAACTGAAATACCACAAAAGAAGAAGAAGATTACCCATCGTGCACCGCGGCGCGCAAACTTTTGATGTTACGAGGTCAAAACACAAAAAAGGAAACTTGCATTTCTATCACCAGCGTAGCATTTTGAAGTTCGGCACTTTTCATTTTGTACATTCTTAACACATCGTCGAGAGTTTGTATAAATATTATAACTTATCGTTAACTCGGAAGCGTTGGCGATGCTTGTTTATGTGTTTTTTGCAGCTTCCTGAAACGTCGACGTAAGTAAAACCTGTGTGTTTTCTGCATGTGTAACTTCAGCTTCATGTTCTGTTCCAACGAATCGGTTGAATGTTTTTTTGTGAGGCTAACGTGCACGATGATTTTTGCCCAGCAGTATCAGGATGAGCAGTCCGGGAGGAGCCAGCAGCGGGACAGACAAACCTGATTTATTTGAGGACCTGTTGAAGCAGCTTGGAGAGACTCACAGAAACTCACTTCAGGGTAACTCACTCACCCTGCAGTGATTTACCCTGCAGTGATTTACACACATGCAAATGCTGTTTGTTTGTTTTGTTTTTGTAGAACTGGAGGCAAAAGTGAGCAAGCTGAAAAAGGACCGCTGCCTGTGAGTTTTTACACCTTTTTTATCCCTGCACTGTTTTAGTCAAGCTAGAATGAATGTGCTTCCTGCAGGGATGCACAGAGTCTGGAGGTGTTTTACTTACGGAACCAGCAACTCAAGGAGCAAAACAAGTCCCTGCAGGACACCATCAGTCTCCTGGAAGAAAGGTAACGAGGTGTATGTTGATGTTTCCTCTTCTAACTAATACAATCATATCCAGAGGCATTGACGTGCGTGATCGAACCAAAGCAACGCTTCCTGTTTTCAGGCTTCGAGCAGGAGAGTGCGATCGATGTGCCGTCTTAGAAGAGAAGCTGAAAAGCCACCAAGATCAGAATCTTCAAGTTGTCACCAAACTGAGTGAGTTTAGTCTCTCAGACTAGCAGGAATGTGCAAACGTTATGAGCAGTTAATATCTTACCTGTTGTAGATGGAGTTTATGTTTGGCGCTCCAACCTCAAAATTAACAGCGACTCATGCACAACATGTTCATACGGATTTAATCATGTGTAAACACAAACAGCAGCAGCCAGCTGAAGCATATAGGGCTCTTCCTGCAGGAATCTGGTGTTTCTGCCAGACTAACTGGAAACTGAAGGCAATGAAAAGGTTTCAGTAACATTATCTGCACGGACTGCTGTGAAATTTTAAACGAAGATGTTTTGTGAACAAATTCCACGTTGGTCCTGGTCATGTTTGGACTAGCCGTTAGCTCATCACTCTGGTCAGAATTAAACCCTTAATTGTTCAAACTAATGTTCAACACGCTGTTTACAACAGACGACGTGTGAATGCTGATTCAGCGTCAGTTATTTATTTATTTTTAAAGTTTTCTGTATGTTTTAAAAATCTTAACGTTACTGCAGACTTGGTGCTTTGCGACCTTAGCGGTTCTTGTGCCAAAACGTTCGGCTCATCTTGCTGTGACTTTTAGTATTTGTAACTTTTTTATACTTTTCATAATGTATATACAATATATATATATTTATATTTTAACAAATATTTCCCCATAGAAATACGTAGAGATCGTCTCAATACCATCAAAACATTGTTCTCTTTAAATCTGCTTCAACAAAATGGCTTTGTTTTAGACTTTTTATTCTGTTTTTAGCTGTTAGCCTTTAGTTGCTTTTGTCTTTTATCTATACTTGTACTACTTTTAGTTTTTAGTTAGCCTTTAGTTGCTTTTGGTCTTTAACTAGTTTTGTGCTACTTTTAGCTTTCAGTTAGCCTTTAGCTGTTTTTTGCTTTTATGTTTAGTTTTTAGTTAGCCTTTAATTGCTTTTGGCTTCTAGCTAGCTTTGTGCTACTTTTAGCTTTTAGTTAGCCTTTAATTGCTTTTGGCTTCTAGCTAGCTTTGTGCTACTTTTAGCTTTTAGTTAGCCTTTAATTGCTTTTGGCTTCTAGCTAGCTTTGTGCTACTTTTAGCTTTTTGTTGAACTTTAGTTGCTTTTGGCTTTTAGTTAGCTTTGTGCTACTTTTAGCTTTTAGTTGGCCCTTAGTTGCTTTTGGATTTTAGCTAGCTTTGTGCTACTTTTAGCTTTTAGTTGAACTTTAGTTGCTTTTGGCTTTTAGCTAGCTTTGTGCTACTTTTAGCTTTTAGTTGAACTTTAGTTGCTTTTGGCTTTTAGCTAGCTTTGTGC